TACAAAGTGAGCGACTACGAGAGCGGAAGTGACTTTGGCAAAACCGGCAGGACGATAAAGCAGAAGGGGCGTACTTTGTCGTACTTCCTGATGGAACCAAGGAGGTACCTTGAAATCATCTTCATCAGCTCTACTGCTTTGGAACCCAAGTAAATTCCACCTATCTATTTCTGCAAGCACAAATGCGAATACTATTGTATTTTAGTGTAGTAAGACACACTGAAATACAATATATAAGTTTTCACAGTACGCGAGCAATTTTAAGCGTTGATTTACCACGTGCTCGGCGGTGAAGGAAAACATTGTGAGGAAACCTGCATGTCTGAGAAACAAAAAAAATATTCTATAATTTCTATAATTCTATAATTAATTCTCTTATTTCTCTTTCACTAACTTGCAGTCAGCATTGTAAGAGGTGGTGAATGTTAATTCTTTCTTTTCTGGGAACAAGACATTCCATCTTAGTCCTTAGGAGTGACTGCATCTGCGTTATGATTCATCATCGGATACAGATGTACATGTCTATGGGCTACAGCACCCACTTGCCATCAGGTGGAACGTGTGCTCGTTTGTCACCATTCTTCTATATAAAATTGAATTGAAAAACAAACTTACAGTCCACCTGATGGAACGTTGCAGGAATCAGTTGTTCACCTGCAACCAACATAAATAAAGAATTGGCCTCAATGAGGACTAAGATCGAATACCTCAAGGCCTGTTATTATACTGGGTTTCTTCTACATTTCTCTACATCTCTTATACAATTCAGATGTGGATGATAATAACCCCTGGTTATGGTGATCGCTACCAAGCTGATTCTAATTTATTGTGTGTTAATTGTAACATACATGATTGTAAGCTGTTATTTAAAAAAATCCCGCTGGGTTTCTTGCTGGTTCTTCCCAGGATAGAGGTTTTTTTTTCCGAATCAGTGGTAAATTAAAAAAGTGACTTTCAATAAGTATTATTTATAATCTATATTGAATAAAAAAGTTTCTGTTTCTGTTTTTGATCTCTTACTTTTTATCCTTGGACTACAGTAGCTAGTTGCTATAATTTGTCAACAAACGAAAGTGTACAAACAAGTATATTTTTTTTAAACTTTGTCCTAAGTAAATTAATATACCACGTTTTTCACCTACAATTTCTGATTCTGAGCTATGATCAAAATTTCAAGCTAGCTAGCCCATCGGGAAGTGTTCGAAATTTGAATTGCAAAGTTCCACCCGGAACGACAGAAAAACTAGAATCTTTTTTCAAATAAATTTTTAGTGACATGATGAAAACGTGGTAAAATTAACACATTTTCATGGCATGTATTCTGTTCTTTCCAGGTGGTAGAGTACGAGGCTGATGAAGATGGATTCAAGCCAAGGATCTCGGTAATACCAGCCGACACAGCATCTAGCCGCGCAGGTGACTGGTCTTATTGACACAACTCCATAATCCTATAGAAAAGACGACACACTATTGTAAAATTTAATATTTATATAATTTAAAACCGGCAATACGAAATAATGGAATAAAAAATAAATAAATTAGAAATGTGTTTTACTCGTAATTGGTTCTATAATAAAAGAATATATTATTATAATCACAACATTTTCAAATATTCTTTAAAGTTACAGCCTGTATACGTCCCACAGCTGGGCACAGGCCTCCTCTCATTTCTGAGAAGGTTACGTAGATAAGCATGTTTTTACCCAGTTATTTTATTATGATATATGAGATGTTTAGAGATACTTAGTAATCAACCAAAACATATTAAAACAAAGTCTTGACACTGCTCCTGTCTGTCCATCTCAATCAATCATCAAAGTTCAAAAACTTTATTAAACTAAGTTTGTATATATATTATAAGGAATGTATGGATTATAATACCCCTGGGTAAGGTGATCGCTACCATGCTATTTCTAATTTGTTATGTGTTATTAATTGTAACATACATGATTTTAAGGTATTATTTTTAAAAAAAAATTCCCCTGAGTTTCTTGCTGGTTCTCCCCAAGACAGTGGTATTTCCGTACCAGTGGTAAATTAAAAAAAAAGTTGTTTTCAATAAGTATTATTTATAATCTAGGTTATTGAATAAAAAGTTTCTCTTTCTGTACCACTATTAATAGAATACTTTAGAAATTATGAGTTACAGTAATAAATAGGGTTCCATTATATTTTGTTTTTGTAATACAACCAACTTTAAAACATATTTCCTACCGTGTGTTAGTAACATTATAAATGTAAATAGACATATTTTATCTTAGTCATTTTGGTTTCAATCATAATACTTTAATGGTATTTGGAATGTACACTAGCAATCAATCAATACAGGTCAAAAGTAGAATCCATACGACATTTATGCACAGACAGGCACTATATTTTGCCGGAATTAGTGAAAAGAATTTCGATCGATCTTAAAGTACCTATAAATGATACCTACAACTTAGTTTTATATGTACTATAATTATTCAACAGTGTTCTATTTTAACTTATAATACCGGTGAAAACTACTATAAAATCGCTTTCAGTTTGTTTTTAGGATGTTGTTAGATTCATAATTTAATTGTTAATTTCTCAGGACTCCGTTTAGATGCAGTAAAACTAATAACACTATTGTAATCTATAGATTATAAGGACCAAATAAACATGCATTTCATAAAAAATCCTTAAAGTTTGTGCTGGGCCCATTCTCCAAACAAAAATAGACATGTGTCAATCACGCATGATTCGTTCGTTTGAGCTGGTACACTTAAAAGTATTGATGGTTCGTTCATTTGTTTTTTAATGTACCAGTACAACCAATCACAAACAATTGACGGTACCTTTTTAACCCGCGATTTGTATGAATTGTGAATGAGCCAAAAACCGACCGAATCCCGAATGTCTGAATAAACAGGCCAATCGAATAAACAATGCAGACTGCAGATTATCAGGAGTATTTATTATTTAAGGATTTTTTATTATAATATTGTTAATTAAATTAAAAATTATTTTACGTTTTATTATATTTATTTGTTAAGTATATGAGTTAAAAATATCATTTCGTAGAGTTTACTAAATACAAAATTTCAAAAGATTTATTTAATATGATAATTTCCAACTACCTTATATAAGTATAAAATAGGTAAAAGTTTAATTTTCTTGCAAATAAATGTTACAATTCCTATTTTTAGACATGTAAAGTAAGATGAAATTGTGTATTGTTAGGAATGAAATTTAAAAATAAACAAATTTATTAAATATTTAAAATAATATATATTGAATAAAGTTACCAATCAAAGTCAAATCAAATCAATTGAATCACTTAAGGTTTTTGTGTTTATGCCATCTAGCGTCGATTATACTTAGCACCTTGAAGGTCAATAAGTTTTAGTTCGATAAAATGACTTTATTACCTATAGCATGTAGTAGATGGCGCTATTATAAATCTCAAATAGAAAATTTCCGGTTCCCAATGGATCTCACAGACTCACAGAGTACTGGAGCCTGAAATGATCCATTTGAATGGTCGATCGGAATATACGATATTTTTATTATATATATATATATATATATATATATATATATATATATAATGTTTCAAAAATATGTTTATAGTATATAGTTTATTCCAGAAATATTTGAAGTAAAAGGAAAAAGAAAAGAATAAAGGAAAATAATTTCAATTAGTAGTTGCCCACAGGTAATGTTGTCGTAGAAGAACTTCGAAGAGTTTTTTATTTGTGGCATTCTTAATATCATTGGGGAGGGTGTTCCAAAGTTTATGTATGTAATAGTAAATGCTGCTGGCCGTATGAGAACGCTTAAAGTCACTCAGCGAGCTATGGAGAGAGCTATGCTCGGGGATCCTCTGCTGTGATAAGCTTAGAAATAAGGATATCCGCAGTAAAACCCGACAAAGACCAACGGATTAGTAAGCTAAAGTGGCAATGAGCCGGCCATATAGCTCGAAGAACCGACAACCGATGTGGAAAAAATGTTCGGGAGTGGCAGCCTCGTACCGGTAGGCGCAGTGTAGGACATCCCCACACTAGATTGAGTGACGACCTGGTAAGACATGCAGGAAATCAATGGATGCAGGTGGCTAAGAACCGTGCTTTGTGTCATTCCTTGAGGGAGGCCTATGTTCAGCAGTGGACTTGTGAAGGGCTGTAATAATATTGATGACGTATAAAGCGTAACATCAATTAAGACATAACTCTTAATAATTATCTATTTCGGCACAGGAGGCCATCTGCGTAGGTTGAGCCTAGTACCTATTTCTGTCACTGACTGCCTCGTTGGTCTAGTGGTTGTAGTAGTGTGACTGCTGATCACGAGGTCCCGGGTTCGAATCCCGGGTCGGGCAAAAACTATCAGTTATTGAGTTTTTCCATCAAGAAATTCTCAGTATCTGCCCGGAGTTAGTAAGTTGGCGGTGTCTCATCCCCGTGCCTCGGAAAGCAGGTAAAGCCGTTGGTCCTGCGCCTGATCTCTCTCCGGTCGTGTCGGTTTACCATCCCATCGGATTATGAGAGTGAGAGAATAGACAGTGCACCTGTGCCTGCGCATACACTTGGGCACTATAATCCTGTCCTGCGCCGATGGCTAGTCTTCATGGCCACCGTTTGTCACCTTTATTCTATAAAAAATTTGCTTGCTGGTAGAAAATTATACCGAAAAACCGTTAACATCTTGAATAAATATGGGCGTCGGTTCGATTCGGTCAGGCTACACCATCAACTTCCCATGAATGTTCTATTTCTAATTTAAAAAAACTTTTTTTATTTACTTACTTTTTTAATTAGTGAATTCACTAACTTTTATGCGCAACGATTATGCGCAAACAAGCACAGACACTCACAGAGAGATATTTTTAGAAATAGTAGAAGCGAACTCTATGGACCTCAGAACGCCTTTTTAACGGTGATAATATATTTAAAAGTCTTTCAAATGTTGGAACCACAACAACGATTTCCAAACACCGTAGTCATTGCTGTTACAATGGCAGTCCAGATATTTTATCATATATTTAAAAATGCATCCGTGTAGAAACCTAACTTGATAGTTTCTTTTATAATCACTTCATTTTCTAATCCACCACTCTTCATCACACTATCTACCGATGGACCCCAGAAATGGTGACCCTTATAAGGAATTTTAAAGTTCACAGCTACGTTCCCTCTTAATTTTGCCAAGTACACGACTTCTACCTCTAAAGCACCCTTATTTGCTGACAGTACCGCGGTCGCCGCCTGCCCAGGCAGCAGTTCCGTTTCAACAAGTGCCTGCAAATTTTTCCTGAGAAACCGTCGTCTCTTTGCTTTTGGTCCAACTTGTCGAAATCGTATTTTCCACTGTTTGACTTTGTTTACCTTAATCGTCTTATTTGAAATGTTATCGAAGTCGTGAGACAACACTATTACAGGTTTCTTCGTTATTGTCTGTAATCTTGCTGATTTAACAGTCAAAACTCGCAATACCTGTTCCCAGTTATATTTTCGGAACAAATCTCAAAATCACAGGGTGTCAGACTTTTTAACTAAACATTGCTGGGAGACCAATGGTAGTGTCTCTTTACAGCCTTCCTTATGTTAGCGTTTCTAATATTAAATAATTCAATTTCCCGATGACCAATAACGTAGACTCCGAAACCAGAATGTGTTATTGTAACATCGTTATCGTTTATTCCAACATTTATATCTAATGAGATCTTCGAATCAACTTTTTTTGCGGCAACTATAAATAAAATCAGTGCTTCAATAAATGTGTTCATTTTATATACTATAAAATTACATTGAATAAAACGTGCACTACATAAGAACTTATTGGTTTCTGATCTTGAAACCCACTCAATTTTTTAAGTTTATTATTTTTATCAGTTTATCCCTGCAACTATTATCAAAATTTATTCTGTTAAGACTTTTTTATAGATATGTGTAGTAACTAACGAACGAAACTTTATTCTACGATTTCAATATACTTTTATATTTTGGTTACGCAATTTCTTAAAGACAAATGTGTTACGAATTTAGAAAGGCCTTTTAAAAGGCAAAACTGGTATTAGTTGATGGACCATAAATTTTACTTGCAAACTCATTAAAAATAAAATAATATAAAGTTAAGCATTTTAATCTGAACTATCTCACGTCAAGTTTTAGTTAGAGTTTTCCTGTCAACGAAATTGTGCCTTTTTTTAACATGGGGAAATGCCTACGCATACCCGCCTCGCGGGGGCAAGGACGGATTATGTCGGACTCGCACCGACTAAAACCCCATGGTGTTCCACCTTCGTCGCATATTGGCAGGGCTACGGGAACGCTTTCGCACACTTCCGCGGCCCCACCAGCGACTGCCGCCCCATGGCAGCACCTCATCGGGAGAGGAATATTCCTCCCCGTTCTTCTTCCCAAGTAAGGCGTCTGTTGCTCCAATTGCATCTGCGCAACAGACGCCCCCGCGTCCGATGCGCGAAGGCCATGGGGCCAGGAAAAACGAGCACTTAGAAGTACTAGCCTTCCCGACCCCAGCGGCGGATCTGGTCTATGGCTCCGCCGCCAACCAAGATTCGGCTGCGGAGGATAGGGAGAGCGGCGCCTCGCAATACCGACAATACTCTCCCCGCGCAGCCCCATCACCACCGCATCAACGGTGCGGCCCCGTTTGAGTCGCGGAGGATAGGGCGAGTGGCGCATCGCCATACAAACACTCGTCTTCCTCCGCGACTCCACCTCGGCTGCAGCGGTAGGTGGGGAGGACACACCTCTCACCGCAGTCCACCAACACACATCCGAAGTGGGCTTCCCAAGCCCACTCGGAGTGGCCACCTCGGGCCGGCCCTCCACCTCGGACCAGCCATATGGGTTCCTCTTTGTTTCGCCGTGGGTGACCAAGCCACGGCTTCTAAGCCCCCCGCCACGACAAGGCGGGAACCCGTTCGGGGGGGAACGAAATTGTGCCTGATCTCTCTCATTGTCAGGTCGTGTCGGATTGGCATGTGAGTTAGGAAACAGTGAGTGCATGTGTGCTTGCGCACACACTTGAGCACCACAACCCTGTCCTGCGCAGATGGCTAGACTCTGTTGAAATGAAACTGGGCATCGTGACCAAAATTTTGTCTGTAGGATGTTATATATTGATTTATATTAAATTTCTAATTGCTGCCTCAGCTCTTAACAACTACGGATTTTGCAACTATTTGTGTAAAAATATGAATTATTTTTCACGGTCAATTAGTAATAGTTGTTCATGGGCTTGCAGTAGCTTTTTTACCATCAGATATAATAAAGATACCATAATTTTGAGTTTTGAGACTGATTAGTAAATTAGTATATATTTTCTCCATACATCTAGACTGACTAAAACCTTCATTTAATTTATGAATAAAGACTTCAATGGGACATTCTAAAAAACCATAAATCTTGATCAGTTGATATAATTCAGTCATGAACGTTACTGGTAATGATCCACGTTTGATCCTCGGTGTCGTCACACGCATGTTATGAAGGTTTTTATCAACAATAGGACGAATTTTGACACACGTGTGTTTGCACCTCCTCTGACTCTACCTGTTCTTATTATATTGATATAGAGTCGAATATTCGGTGCAATGTAGTTGTGAAACGTAGCCTGTGATGCGGTCGAGCTTTCCTTCCATTGATTTATATATTACACTAGATCAGGGGTCGGCAACCTGCGGCTCGAGAGCCACATGCGGCTCTTTGGATGTGAAGCTGGCAAATATTATTTATTTTGTAAAATAAAATATTAAAAATCGTTCTAAATCGATTAACGAGTAGGTATTAGCCCCTTTCACCGCACCCCTCCCCGGTGACACGCGTCGTCACTGTCGTAAGTCCGTCGAAAGCTCGGAAGTTCTTGAATGTATATATTTCTTTTTTTTTTTCAAAAATGCTTGGCAAGAAAAAAAATTGTGGCTCTTTAAATACTTTGAAATTTTTTAAATTGTAATGTTGACTCTTCCGACTCAAAAGGTTGCTGACCCCTGCCGTAGACGGATTGTCGCATTGAGTTATACAACACTAGAGGAGCAAACCACATTACCGCGCGTCGAAAAAAGTGTAACCACTATCCAAACGCGACGACGTAGCGTTGAAACTAATAACAATTTTAAGTAAACATACATCTATCTCACTTACACAAGTTGCGAAAACAATATCGTCACTAAGATTAGATAAAGATAGACACACAAACATGCAATGACGGGTTGGTGTGGCTTACTATATGAAATTTTACCTAAAATATCAATAAAAATGAGTTTTTTTAAGCTGCAGTTAATTGTTTTTATATTAAAAAAGTATATTTTATTTTAAAATCTTTATTACGTCCTCTTAGAAAAAAAGGATACAAAGCTTATCAGATGAATAGAAGTAAACATAATGATGAAATAAAACGTATTTTTATGGTACTAATAAATCAAACAATATAAAATAGGTAATAAAATATAAATAATATAAAATTTATATGAAACTATAAATAATATAAAATTATTAATATAAAATAGGTAATAAAATATATTAAGTTAAAACGTAGTTTTTATTATAATTTCCAAAATATTTAAAATCAGAGGTAACAAATTAACTTACTCCATTAATTATATAGTCTCACATTAATGTAGGATAATCACAAATGCGGAAAAGTGGCAACATTGACACCTAACACCTAAATGGCAATATTCGATATTTTATTTAATTATTAGAGGTTTTTTACGTTTATATGAAAACAAGAACTAAAAATTATGTGTTGAAAGTGATTCCGCTTGATTTATTACGTTTTTTTGACCTTGAATAGCATTCTTTCACTACGCATTTGCCTATTTTTGTCGCGGCTCAACTCTGTCGGCGTCACATTGAACAATGAACTCACGTTAGCTAGGCATATGGCTGTGGCCATATGTGCAGTGGCAACGCTTTGGCGCGGTTATTACTGATCTAGTGTTATATAAATCAGTGGATTGCTCCTGTTTTGTCGCTTGAATAACAGTTTGAAGTGGATTTTGATTCGTAAAAGTGATGCGATTTTGTGAATTAAGTGTCCGCGCGTGTGAACTATTAGAGAAAACGACGAAACAAGCGCTTTGATGTCGATATAAACCTCAAGTTATTTTGATCGCTTGGGCGCCTTATGAACTTGAGTGGCTTTCGTCATCAACTGTCCGCTGGGTTGAGCTTTCGGCAAAATCTCCCAAGGGCTTTGCAATGTAATGCATCAGCATATTGTGAAGAAAAAATATAAAAATTAAGATTCTGAAAGAAATGATCAATGAAAAAAGAAATGCTTAGAAGGGCTAGAACCTAAAGCCGTAAAGCTAGTTAAATAAATAAAAAACTGTATTCGTTTTTATTTTATATTTTATGATTTGTGGTTTAGGTATGTATAGCTTTGACTAGAGAAAAAAACCGGCCAAGAGCGTGTCGGGCCACGCTCAGTGTAGGGTTCCGTAGTTTCCCGTCCGTCGCAATAAGTGTTCCCACTTATGAGTTTAAAGGTGGGTATCCATTATGTTCGCGCTCCAGCAGCGCTCCGCGCTCCTGCAACTGCTCCCGGTAGTGGGTACTGTTGTTTCCATCCAAGTTCAAAATGATTTTCCTAGAAAGACCTTACAAAGTTTTACTTTTCAGAATTTTTTTCATATTTTCTAAACTTATGGTTCAAAAGTTAGAGGGGGGGGGACACATTGTTTTTTACTTTTGGAGCGATTATTTCCGAAATTATTGACATTATCAAAAAATGATCTTAGTAAACCCCTATTCATTTTTAAATACCTTTCCAACAATATATCACACGTTAGGGTTGAAATTAAAAAAAATCACTTCCCAATTTACATATAGGGGGGCTAACCTAATAAAAAAAAAATTCCAATTTTTATTTTACCACTTTGTTCGCGTGATTGATACACATATTGGTACCAAATTTCAGCTTTCTAGTGCTAACGGTCACAGAGATTAAGCGAGGACGGACAGACGGACAGACAGACATGGCGAAACTATAAGGGTTCCTAGTTGACTACGGAACCCTAAAAAGAAAGGACATGACATAAAGATCGTTAGTTGTAGGTATGTAACGATATATCGGCGTCTCTTTTTAGCTTATGAGTATATTCGTATGTAAAAAAGGACAACAGTAGTTTTATCTTTATCGAATATGGCAACAATTTTTTCGCTGCGGCTTGGCGCCATGTTTTGTCACAGTCAATGACAACTATATCTTCCTGTATATACTTATTATACTCTTTGACTATATCAGTTGTCATTCCGACTTTAGTGAGGGAGTGTGTTATTTTTATATGTTTCTCACGTGGAATTCGATTATTACGAAATTTCTTATTCTATTCCTCGGGACCTCTAAATCGGGATTAAAAGTATCCTATATGTTAATTCAGGTAATAAACTATTTACGTGCCAAATTATTATATTCAAACTGGTCTGATACTTTTGGCGTGATTGAGGAATAAACAAAC